TGGAAGGAAACTGCTCAGTAGCAGCGAAAGGTGCCAACTTTGAAGCATGGAATACAGGGTAGGTGCGTAGATGGGGTGGGATGCGAATCACATAGGATGTCCCATCCGGTTGATCTCCTATCACATCTAGGACCTCCCACGGACCGAAGAATTGTGGCATCAATTTTCTAGAGATTCCTAGCTCGTGACCAAGTTCAGATGTTTTTACCCAAACTCTGTCACCTACCTATAAATTAGAAGCCCGTCTATGCTTATTCTCATATGCTATCATTGTATCTTGAGCTTTTCTAATGTGCTCTACGGCTTGCTGCAGCATCTGTTCATACTTAACAGCAAACTCTATGTTGCCAGGTGCTGCAGTGGATTCTCTTTCCGGTAGTAAGAAGTCCGAGGCAGTTCTAGGCTTCCAACCAAGATGCAGTTGGTTGGGAGTCATTCCGGTAGCACTGTGCACTGCGTTATTATACAGGCTGGCGATGAGAGGTAACTTCTCGTCCCAGTCATCCTGACTTGGCTTGATGTAGTGCCCCAGCAAATGCTGTACTACTCGGTTCATCTGTTCTGCCTGTCCATTTGACTCAGGATGATTCCTTGATGTCATTTGGAGTTTGGTTCCCATCTGTTCAGCTGTAGACTGCCACAGTTCGCTGGTAAATCATACATCCCTGTCAACGTAGGTAGACCGAAATCCCTTACCCTGTTATCCATAAACAGTTTGATGACGTGATCTGTCTTTGTTGTCTCCGACATAGCGATAAGTCTGGCATACTTAGTAAAGCGACCTGCTATGACGAATATGTGTCGTTTGCTGGTTTTGCTGGTCACAAGAGTGTCCATAAAATCCATGGAGACACTCTGACCTGGACCTTCAGGGATCGGCAAGGGCTTGATCAGCCCAAGCGGAGCCTGAGTCCTGGGTTTGTCTCTTTGACAAACCTGACAAGTCTCGACATACAGTTTTGCATCCTTCATCATAGAAGGCCACAAAAACTTTTGTACTAAGTTTGCTAATGTCTTCTTATAACCAAAATGACCTACATCATCATGACATTCTCCTAAAAATAAACTACGCAAAGACTCACTATCCGGGACACATAGTCTTTTAAACCCTGCCTTTTCAAGGAACAACAAGTCATCTACCATGGTAAATTCGTCCAAAGTCTTCTTGTCCTTTGCTTGGAGTCTACGCATGATCTCTGACATAACTGTATCTCCCTGATAGACTTCCACCAGCGATCGAGTAAGATCATTAGATATGCCGAATTCAG